TCAAAATGGAAAGAGAGTTAATGAGGAAGCGACAGAGGACAAGGAAAAGTCAAGTGTGGGTGGGAAATTAGGGGGTTGGAAAGCAAATGATAGCCCTGTGGCATCAACATGCTGGGGTGATTAGAGTTTAGGACATAAGAATAGGGAAGGATTTTCACTTTAAAAGACATGGCAGATTCTGTATTTGTTGAGATTTTCTCCATCCTTTCGTTCCTCTCCTGTAGACATAAATACAGCTAGTTACTGTGCAAAACATGTCTGACATATTTAATATATCATTGATGCAACACAATAAATGTAAGAAATATAAACCTCACAAATCAAAAGACAGTGCTGTCATGAAACATCATTATAGATATGCTTAGTTGATCATTTATTGTAAGAGTTGCTCTTAATTTTTTTAAGCAAGTGTTTGAAAATCTCTTTAAGTCAACAGCAGAATAAATAAGGAATATTTAATAATCTATATATTAATAATACCCTGATGATACTATAGCAATTACCAACATTTTGCATATAATATTATAAAATAATAAAAATATAATAATAATACAATAAAATTGTAGAGTATGGATTCAATCTAGAGCCACATATACTTGCAAAATAAAAGAAAGTTTTGCAAACAAAAAATAAAGTTCTCCACAATAAATAAATGCAAATCTCCAAAAAATACAAAGTAAAAATTAATTTTGAGAAACAAAAATAGTTTTTGCTAACAAAAATAAAGAACGGCAAAAGGGAAAATTAGGTTAAATTTGTTAACAAAAAAAGAACTGATTTCGCAATAAAATATTTGCAAAACGTTTTTATTGCATTGCCTTTACAAAACCCGTCCAGTCAGTTGTAATGCTCATTTTGATTAGCTTTTCATTCAACCATGAGTTTGTGATGCTGTTTTCACTATGCACTTTACAGTTCAACGCATTTCACTTTGTGGTCCTGATTTGACAAGGGGGGCGGGGTCAAAACTTGGGTGTTTACAGCAGGCCCGGACCTGCCTCCATTTAAGCGACGTCATCATTTGCTTGCCAACTGCCATAACATTTTGACAAATAAATTTAAACTACCAATTAGACATACCTGAACTTCCCTTGCATGCCTCTGCTTAGCTTTGCTTCTGCTTCTTCTTCCTTCAAAGTTTTATGGCGGTTGGCAAGCAAATGATGACGTCGCTTAAATGCAGGCAGGACCGGGCCCACCATAAATGGCCAAGTACCCCTTGTACCCAAGTACCATAGTTTTTTAATTGCAAAAATACACACACACACACACATACATATATACATATATATATATATATATATATATATATATATATATATATATATATATTTATTTATTTTTTTATTATTTTTTTTTTTTGCATTGCTTGATTATTTTTTGCTATTTTTTTGTTAGCAAAATTTTTTTTTTCCCAATTTATTTTCGCTTTGCGATTTTTGAACTTTTTCATTATTTTCTTTTTTTGCTCAATACTTTTAGTTTTTTTGTTTACAAAACTTTTATTTTGCAAGTATAAATGGCCCTAGAATGACTCCATAGTAAAGGGATTTATTCAAAAAAAGTTTATAAAAGCTTGTTATTTTAAAATTTTGTTTTAGCAAATTTGGCAAATGGCCATGTTGTGCTCAGTTTACTGTATAATAATGACTTGATGAATTTAGCACAAGGTAGATAGTATTTTTGTGTCTTGTCATACTGGTATAAATGCCTTTGATTTTTCCTTTAATGACAGATGTTGCAGCATGCAGAAAGATCCTAGATTTTTTTTTCCAGTGTCAAATCAAACAAAGATGATCATCAAGGAAAGTGTAACATTTTGATCTATTTTAAGCGTCTTTCTCTTTCTCCGTCCCCTATAATTAAAAGCGGTCTCCACAGATATCTCAGAATAGCTGGTAATAATGAGAGCACTCTATAGACACTCATGACGATCTCACAGTTAATGGGACAAATGATGTCTGTAATTGCATTGAGACGAGTGTGATGAAAATGTCATCTCTGCTTGATCTTTTTCAAATAGTCACTGCGGGAACGCGATCATTGAATTTGCCTGTTATTATTATTCTGTACATTTGATTTAAAGTATGACACATGTTACTGATGGGCGGACAGTTATCTTGTCCTGCACTTGATGTGTGTTCGAGTACTCCAACCCACACTGGTTTCTTTTTTCTCTGTGTGACTCAGCCTAAAATATATGCTTGAACAGAAAGAATTGTATGTCCTGAGCTGAATTGTATGTCCTAGGGGCAGCGAGTAGATGTTACATAATGTAAAGAGCATTATATAAGAGTTTTTTCTATAAAACTCTAAAGCATAACACAACTTTAATAATTCTTAAATGCAGGTTCCAGCAGTATTTTTTAAAATCCTAGTTTCTAAAATATTAGAAGGTGTAAAATGCAGCGTGTTGTTATTATCGAATGAAATGTAAAGCTTTTCCTCGCTTTATATCTAACATTTTACTGTTTGTCCTCTATAGTAAGTATATTCAGTGTTTTCTATATTATTATATACAAATTTACTCATTTTTGGGGCTGATACATGTGGGACCATGCAAGTGCTTAGCTGGCACATGTTATCATGTAATTTAAGGTCTTTATGACAGAGAAGATGTTATGATACATGGTGGTCTTTTAAATAAATAAACTATAAAATATTAATTATTATTATACTAAATATATTAACATATTTAGTAGGGGGTCCTGCAGAGCTTAGCTCCAACCATATACAGTTGAAGTCAGATTTATTAGCCCCCCTAAATCATTAGACCACTTGTTTGTTTTTTCCCCAATTTATGTTTAACTGATAGCAGATTTTTTTCAGCCCATTTCTAAACATAATAGTTTTAATAACTCATCTCTAATAACCGATTTACTTTATCTTTGCCATGATGACAGTAAATAATATTTTACTAGATATTTTACAAGACACTTCTATACAGCTTAAAGTGACATTTAAAGGCTTAAATAGGTTAACTAGGCAGGTTAGGGTAATTAGGCAAGTAATTGTATAATGATGGTTTGTTCTGTAGACTATCGAGAAAAAATATAGCTTAAAGGGGCTAATATTTTTGTTCTTAAAATGGTGTTTTAAAAATGTAAAAACTGATTTTATTCTAGCCAAAATAAAACAAATAAGACTTTTTCCAGAAGAAAAAAATATCATCAGACATACTGTGAAAATTTCCTTGCTCTGTTAAACATCGTTTGCAAAATATTTAATAGAGAGTAGAAAAAAATTTGAGGGGGGCTAATAATTCTGACTTTAACTGTACATAAACACCTGAACAAGCTGATTAAGATCTTACTAAGTAAACTTGAAACTTCCAGGCAGGTGTGTTGAGGAGAAGTGGAGCTAAACTCTGCAGGACACTTGACCCTCTGCTCTAGGGGTAGATCAATACAATTGGTTGGGTTTAGGTCAATCGGTCAAAACAATCATTCGTCAGCGGCCTCTGGTGGATTTACAATAGAACAACAGGTGCATATGGCATTCGCGAGAGAAATTTAAGATCTCAAATGCATACACAGCGGCCTCTGGTGGATTTACATTAGAACAGCAGACGCCAATGGCACTCGCGAGAGAAATTTAAGATCCCAAATGCATACACAGCGGCCTCTGGTGGATTTACATTAGAACAGCAGGCGCCAATGGCACTCGCGAGAGAAATTTAAGATCTCAAATGCATACACAGCGACCTCTGGTGGATTTACATTAGAACAGCAGGCGCCAATGGCACTCGCGAGAGAAATTTAAGATCTCAAATGCATACACAGCAGCCTCTGGTGGATTCGCGAAAACAGAAACTGCAAAAAACATAGCTCCTATAGGATGTATTTGGCACTCTCCAGAATTGTATACAGAGATACTTTTTTAGAATGAGCCTGGGTTGTGGTTTTCAGTGGTTACCGATTTTCAGCTTTTGTGTTTAACAGAAGAAAGAAAAGGTTTGGAACCACTTGGGTGAGTAAGAAAAATGTAATTTTTTTTTTGTCTGAACTGTCCCTTTAAGAGACTCTTTAATTGTGTTTGGGAGCTTGGCTATATGTTTGGGCACTATAGAATACTGAAGCCAAACTGTCCCAAGTACTGTATGTCTGCTGTAATCTTTTAGATGATGATGCCAATGACATCATGAGCTGGAGCTCTGGAATCAAAGTCCTGACCAAACTCTCGCAAGCATGTATTCATGACACAACATTGCATTTTTTTATCATCACATGACTAACTAAATGCAAACTTATTAGCAACACTTAAACATACATTTGTGTAATAAGAGCTAAAATGGTGGAAACCAACATGTAATTAGACCCCCTCCCCCTAGTGAAGCCAAAATTTATAACGTGTACTGCAACCAGCCACCAGGGGGCGATTTAAATGTTTGATTTCACTTCTTAAGTAAGGTGTGGGGCATATTTATAAAGCCTTGATTAACATCCTTTTTGCATATAAGGTATCAGAGTCATTGCTTGAACAAACAGTATGTGGCCTGTTTACAAAAAGGGTCAAGTATTTCCTGTAAGCCATTGACTTTTTCCATCACTACTGGCTTTCCCCTCTAAATGCTGAAATGACAGTATGTGACACCTGATTGGCTGTTGGTTGCTTACAATTTAACACTACATATGTTTGTTTAGCAATGCAGTTTTATGTTAATTCTGCACAAATTGACGGCAGAGCAAGTTTCAATTCAGGTAAAAATATGAAGGTAAAAAATCCCTCTTCTCAATTACAAGTTTATGGCAATCCTTCAGCCATTATTAAAAGCGCTGCATGCTTAAAAGTACAGAAACCTGGGTTAGGCAAAGTATAAAGATCATTCTTAATCTTGAGCCTTAAATATTATAAATGCCATCTATCTTTGGTCTATTTTTTTAACCCAGAAGTCTTCAAATCTTCTTGAAGTCATCTTGACATCAGACATCTTGTTTATCTGTTCTAAATCTTTCCTAATAAACTTTTCTCATTATTATTATTCTTCATTCACACTCTTCTTCCCACTTTCAAATCTTTTATTTGCCAACCATCCTGCTGTTGTCATTTCTTTAGTGATACGTTGCATCATTCATTTTCACTCCTCATTATTGTTTTTTTTGTTGTCTTTTCTTCAGTCTCTGCCTTCTTGCTTTTGTTCATTTGATCCTGCAGACCCTTCTGGTCAAGTTTCTCCTCAATCTGGTCAAGTTCCTGCTCAAGCAGAGCCAGTTTGATGGGATCTGACACACACGGGTCTTCATCCTCCTCATCTTCCTCATATTCTTCCACTTCAATTCCATCCATGGTCTTCTGAAGCTGCGTCTTCACTTTGTTTAATTCCAGTAGGCCATGTTGAAGCTCTTTGCAAACTTCTCGGATCTTGGAGGCAAACTTGGTCTTGGCACCTTTGCGGAGTTCATTTGAGTCTTTGGCGAGAAAAAAGACATCCAGAGCAAGGAAAAGAGTGGACATGACCCCTGTGGTGATACTGATGGCCTTGGCGGCTTTGGCAGCACCTCCAGCAACACCCAAAACTTTCACAGTGCTAACAAGTCTATCAGTGTTTATCAGGAGGGCTTTTCCAGCTCGCCCACCTTCCTTCATCACATACTTTATATTACGGTTGAGACTTGTGTTGACCACACTGTCAGAGTAGTCCTTAAAATCCCATTCCTGCAGGGTATTCATTCCTTCCTACATATACAAAATTACAAGTCAGACACCAAGGATGACAAATAAATATTACAACTATTACCATTGCGGAAAATCGCATTTATTTTAGTTTGACTGGAATGAAAGAAGTTTAAAACAATTTTAAGGTCAATATTATTAGCCCCCTTAAGATTTTTTTTTAATTGTTATTGTGGATCATTTAAAAAAAATAATGTACAGTAACTTATACTGCATATTAGGAATTTGCAGTATCTTCTGTAATCAAAGTAGTCAAGTACTGTAGCTTAAGACAAAAATGCAACATAGGCTCATTCTGAAAATGTAGCCCTACATACAGTTCTGGAGAGCAAATTATGTAGCCAGAAGTACGTATGGCTAAATTCTCGTGCTAGCAGCTGACCGTTTACCTCCGTAGGGATGGCTTTACCGCTGTTACCAGATTGTCCAGTGGCTTGCAGCGTTGCGAAGAGGAGATGTAAAGAGGATTTGATCGTGACGACAAGGTTCGAGTCCGGCAAAGAATGGTTCCAGAAAGCAGGTAAACCAAACAAAAGCCAAAAAATAAAAAATAAAATAAACAGCTAAATAACACGGTAAGAATGTGGTAAAATTTAAAAATGTGGTAAAAGTCAGGCGAGGGCTTTTCTTTTTCTGGATTCCTTTTGAAAACACTTTCGGTTGGGTTTAGGGAAGTGGGTGGGTAAGGGTATTTGATCGGTTAATCAGTCAATTACTCGACAGCGGCCTTTGGTGGATTTACGTGAGAACAGCAGGCGCGAATGGCACTCGTGATGGAAATTTGAGATGTCTAAAAGCATACATAGAGGACTGGTGGACTCGCGAAAACAAAACTGAAAAAAAAAAACTTAGCTCCTGGGACATATTTGGCGCTCTCCAGAAATGTATATAGCAGTACGTTTTCAGAATGGAACTAATGGGTTCAAAAAAATGGTCACTTGTTTGGAATTTATTAAATTCGATAGTAAATACAAAAAATAAAGGTTTTGTACAGCTAGTGTAAAATGCAAATAAATTACAGTAAAGTACTGTAAGAATGGTCATACTCTAAAACTACCGTATTTTTCCATAAAAGTACATTTTTACCAGAAGCGGTAAGGCTATTTTTCTGTTAAACGAAATTACGGTAGAGCCCTGCTACTGTAAAACACATTTACAGGTAAGTTACTGTACAAGAGTAGCTGTGATAAATTCTGGCAACAGTGCTGCCACTACATTACTGTAAAAATACAATAAAATGTCTAACAGTGTAGTTAACCTAATAACCTAGTTAAGTCTTTAAATTGCACTTTAGGCTGAATACTAATATCTTGTAAAATAAGTAAAAAAAATATTATGTCCAGTCACAGGATTTCTGCTGGTTTCACCAAGTTAAATTTAAAAACATTTTTAAGACCATAACGAATGCACATTTATACCCATACAGGGCTAAACGCTAAGAAGTTTCACAAATGTCACAGTTGGAAATGATTTTGATTTGCCCCATCAAAAAATCTTATAGTTTAATACATTTAATGATACAAAAATATTAATAATTTAATAATAAAAACATTTAAGTAATATTAGTTATTTCTTAGCAACACATTTAAAATGTGTCAAAACAAGCAAGCTCTAGTCATTTTATACATACTCTTTTTTACAACATAACCTTTATTTTTATTTTAAAGGACAAATGTTTTAAAACTATAATAAACTAAATGTATGTCCAGGTCAGTGTCCTCAGCAGTAAATAGATGGGGAACTTTTAAACAAATGTTGTTGTAAGTAAATAATTAAACCATTAAATAGAGGTACTCTTACACTTTTTAATAAAAAGTTAAAAGTTTTATTGAGATGAATTGTTGGTGATTGGATGGGTGTTAATATCCAGATTGGGCAGCTTTACACAAACAAAGGGAAAAAAATAAGAACCTAGAAGACATTATTTCAGTCAGTTTAAGACTTTAAGGCATAACATTTTGTTTTTAAGATTTAAGACCCCGCAGAGACCCTGTGTCATCATGGCAAAGACAAAATAAATGAGTGATTAGAAATTAGTTATTTATTAGTAACTATTGTGTTTAAGCTATTACGACTAAAATTAGTTAACTTATTTTTAATAATCTCCTTGTTAAGCAAACACTTGGGAAACATTTTTTAAAAATAATCGAAAATAATTTTGACTTTTAATGTATTTAGCTAAACCAACTTGACATTTATATACAGTTGAAGTCAGAATTATTAGCCCCCCTTTTTATTTATTTTTAAATATTTTCTAAATGATGTTTAACAGAGCAAGGAAATTTACACAGTATGTCTGATGATATTTTTTCTTCTGGATAAAGTCTTATTTGTTTTATTTATACTGTTATTAACTTATATTGATTTATTAATTTGTTTTTATCAATTTTTTAAAAACCATTTTAATGTCAAATTATTAGCCCCTTTAAGCTATATATTTACTTGCATTTTCGATAGTCTACAGAACAAACCATCGTTATACAATAACTTGCCTAACTACCCTAACCTGCCTAGTTAACCCTTTAAATGTCTCTTTAAGCTGTATAGAAGTGTCTTGAAAAATATCTATTAAAATATCATTTACTGTCGTCATGGCAAAGATAAAATAAATCAGTTAGTTAAATTAGTTATTAAAACTATTATGTTTAGAAATGTTTTTTAAAAATCAGCTAATAATTCTGACTTCAACTGAATTTCACTGCTCTCTGGTGACCTGAAGTGCTTCAATTATCTTTATTTGTTCGTTGATTTGAATAAAAGCATCTACTAAACATAAATATAGTGTGCTGAACATACTTGCATGAATTCCAGACAATCCCTAATGTCAGTGATCTCACTCTGGTAGCCCTGGATCATCTTCTCCACTTTCTTGCGGTCTATCTTGGATTGAACAGCGTCGGTGATGTTCGCTGTGGCTGAAGTGATGCTGCCAGCTGTGGCCACACTGATGCCCACTGCAGTGACAATAGTGGATGTGCCAAAGGTGAAGGGTGCAAGGATGAGGCCAGTAATGGTGGCTATGCCTCCAGCGACGCTAGCTACACCCCCTCCGATAGCGGCGCTCACCGTCTTCTTATGGAAACTGTCTGCAGCATCAGCCAGAGCAAGCAACTCCATAATGCGACATTGCAAAGATGCTCCACGCTGGTTGAATAGACTGACAAAGAGACGGGCGGCCATGAACACACGGTCAGCAGCAGCCTCTACAGCCCTGGTAGACAGAATAACAAATGTAAGTAGCCATTGAAGGTAAAAACGGTATAAAAAGTCTGCATTTACTCACAGCTCCTCGTCATCCTCCTGAAAATTTGATGTTTGGTTCCATTCACTCCAACCTGTCAATAATCAGTATGTCATATGAAACTGCAAACAGTAGCTGAGTTTCCATTACTCTGTGTTAATGCGAATGTTTGAAGCATCATATGAGAAACATGTAATGATAATGCCAAATACATCCCTTAATTCACAAAAATGTTTCTACGCTTGCTTGAGCAGGTTTTGGACAATGCCATTATTGGAAGGTGAAAATTTTCTGAAGGAAATCTGACGGAGTGAATATTACACCCACATGTCTCCATCTTGCTTGTATTGTGCTTACTGTTGATTACTAGGTTACTAATACTACAGTCAGCTGCTCTAACAGGGGGATGCCCAAACATTTTTTTAAGAAGGGCCAAAAAAAAAAAAAAAAAAACTTGATTGAGGACAGTGGGCTGAAGGTAAATATAAAAAGCTGTATTGCAAAGTTTTATAAATAATTCCCTCGTTTCTTTAAAAATAATTAGAAAACATTACTTTAAGCATAGTAACTAATCCATTACATATTTCTTACCTTCTATAATGAACCTACACTCACTGGCCACTTTATTAGGTACACCTTACTAGTGCCCGGTTGGACCCACTTTTGCCTTCAGAACTGTCTTGATCCTTTGTGTCATAGATTCAACAATGCACTGAAAATATTCCTTAGAGATTTTGGTTCATACTGATATGATAGCATCACGCAGTTGCTGCAGATTTGTCGGCTGCACATCTATGATGTGAATCTCCCGTTCCACCACATCCCAAAGGTGCTCTATTGGATGGAGATCTGGTGACTGTGGAATACATTTGAGTACAGTGAACTCATTGTATGTTCAAGAAACCAGTCTGAGATGACTCGTGTTTTATGACATTGTGAATTATCCTGCTAGAAGTAGCCATCAGAAGAAGGGTACGCTGTGGTCATAAAGGGATGGACATGCTCAGCAACAATACTCAGCTAGGCTGTGGCGTTGACATAATACTCAATTGGAACTAATGGGCCCAAAGTGTGCCAAGAAAATATCCCCCACACCATTACACCACCAACAACAGCCTGAACTATTGACACAAGGCAGAATGGATCCATGCTTTCATGTTGTTGATGCCAAATTCTGACCCTGCCTTCCAAATGTCACAGCGGAAATCAAGACTCATCAGACCAGGCACGTTTTTCCAATCTTCTATTGTTCCTATTTTGGTAAGCCTGTGTAAATTGTAGCCTTAGTTTCCTGTTCTTAGCTGACAAGAGTGGGTTAAAAGTGACAAAAGTCACTTAAATCACCCTTCTTCCCCATTCTGATGCTCAGTTTGATGTGCAGAAGATCGTCTTGACCATGTCTCCATGCCTATGCAATGCACTGAGTTGCTTGCATGTGATTAGCTGATTAGAAATGTGTTAACAAGCAGTTGGACAGGTGTACCTAATAAAGTGGCCGGTGAATGTAATATAATGAAAACATATCAATTCAATTTATAACACAATGGAGTTTGAAGCCACATACACTAGTCAAGCTGCACCTGCCTTTACTTTGATTTGCTCACTGAGGACTTGTGCTTTATCCACTGAGCAATAGTATTTTCATAAAAAATGGATTCAATTTAATTGAAAGTTGAGTTTGTTGTTTTTTTTTTAGCTTAAAAATAAAACTAACAAATGAAAGGTTACCTTAGGTAACCATTAACTCTAACCCACCTCAAAATTCCCCCTCTTCTCAGATGGGATGGCAGGCCAAATCAAAGGGTACAATGGGCCAACCTTGACCCTAGTTGGGGCATCTCTGCTCTAACAACTTGATGGAAATGCACCTAAGTTGCAATTTGGAATTTTTCTTTTTTGCAACTTTGAAAAGATTTACTTCACTTTAAAATGGAAATGAATAAAATAAATATTAAATAAATGTAATTAACAATGATCAGTTACAAAGGTTAACCAATCATCCAAATTACTCATTTTTGTTGAGCAGTGACTAAGGGGTTAAAAAATAAGAGTTGTGGAGGAAAAGTTCATTTTTACCTAACTTGAATGCTCATAAAAGTTTGTGTTTTGTCTAAAGATGAGGGCACAAGCATGAGATATTTGACATATTTTTGTTAATTTCTTTGCCTTGTGTGGAAAAGTACAGCAGGTCCGTAATGTAACCTTGAAGAACTGATATAAGTGGGAGAAAGCCCTCCCTTTCTTGTGACCAATGTTTCTGTTTGACTGTCTGAGCCTTTTCCAAGAGAATAAAATCGTCTTTAAAAATAATTGAACATTTTTGTCTCTTATTAAGTGTTGTAATTTTAAAATTGCCATGACAGAGTGCAGTTCTATAAAGGTGCAGATGGTGTGGAATGATTTGTGGGTGATCTACTGAGAATTTTAAGAACAAAAACACAATGAAAATAATTTCCATAATGACGACACCAAATCTACCACGATGTGGGCTTCTAAAAATGCAAACACAAATTAGGTTAATGCATGCTTTTTTGACATTAAAAGTAGTAGATGGACTACTGTAAATATTTAATAAATCACCATGCATTATAAATATTTAATCTGTTAATGTATTATTTAGTTACTGCATTCTTAGGCAAGTGCATCAGCATTTGCCTTAATGGCAAGAAACTAAAAGCACAAAAAAAAAACAAATCTGCTAAGTTTAAAGTGGTTGAACTTTAAATAATAAAACTTGCTTATAGTATTACATTTTGCTTTAACAGCTGTTTAAGAGCATGTAAATACCCTCTAGTCTAGCGTGAATTGGGTGAATCTAAAACTGTCCAAATTATACAAGAACATAACTAAGTAGTTTTGCACGTAACTAGTTTTACATAATGCCTAATATGTAATCAAGTAATTTGGACCAACAGACCCTCAACAGTTTTCCACCAGTCCATCAGACCATTATCCTGTGAACAAAGATAAACAGAAAGATAAGTTTTAAAAAATCTAATAAACAATTACTATAACTAATTATTATTTAATTTATATTACAAGAATTATTGCATATTTTAATATACCTCATCTGTCTCTGAGGAATTTAAATCTGTTGGATAGGCAGCCATCTCCACTGGCAGGATTTCAAAAGTACAGTCCTATAATAACAATAGTATATATTTGTGACAGCAGACCAATAAACTCACACTGTAAAAAATGCAGGGTTCTACACATTTCATTCATGTTGGAAATGTCCAATAGCTAATCAGCAATTTAAAAAGTAATCACAGTTCATACACGCTCGATAGTGTAGGCGTGGATTTTAGCTGCCACACTATGGCGAGTGGATAGTGCCACGGATAACCGAACGAAGGAGACAGTCGTGTACTCGCCATACCACACACACACAAAAACACACACACACCTCCGGATGACAACTTTCCCGCTTCCGCCCGCACCCGCCAGGTTTTAGCCTGAGAACCCGCTCCGTTTTCTGCCCGCCGCGCCCGGTCCCGCTAGAGCGGAGAACACAACCAAATATCACCCAGTATACAGTCCAGACAGCCAAGCTGTCTGTATAAACACACACACACAGCACAAAGTACACAAAGCTCGTTCGTTCGTTCGCTCTCTCTCGCTCTCTCTCTCTCTCTCTCTCCCCGCGCCAGATTTCTGCGGCGCGGGAATACATTTCCGAATAAATCGCGGGAGCAGAACTCTAGCACGGAGCTCCATAAACAAACAGCACGCGTCGCGTTTTTAACGTGACTTTGCACGCGATAAGATAATATATCCAGTTAACCTGATACAGTACACGCGGTTACAAGTAACAAATCACAACTAAATACATTTGCAAGCTAGAGTAAACGAGGCAACAACTTTAACCGCACGTACTTACACTTGAGAAATGGAAGAAACCCATCCTGACGTCCATCAGTTACTCTTTACTGATCCTTCCTTTAACAAACTCAGATGAAGTATTCTTTGTAGCATGTAGCTTCCAGAAGTTTCCAACTGCTTGGTTATAATGCTGATGTTTCATCTTTGGGTAGAGACTCAATATATCCATCTGCAGTGTGACTTCAATCGACCGGCATGTTTGTGTGCGTGTGTTTGTGGGTGTGTTTGTGGGTGTGTGTGTGTGTCTGGGTTTCTGCGTCAGAGGGCGGGGCCTCAGGTTTGAAATCTCCCGGGTTTGTGCGTGCACGTGAATAACTTGGTTTCGTTCGTACGTCATGGCGAAACACCTAATGAATCGGTATCAAGCCGACTCGTTTGAAGCACTATGAGTCGACTCTTTTATAGATGAATCAACCGTTTTAAACACTGTATTCTTACAGATTTAAGCCTTAGCTGGATACTTCACTTCACTTAGAGCTGTGTTACACACTACATGGAGGGGAATTTTCAAAAACCCATGATATGGGCTCTTTAAATATTTTTAATTTCAGAGATGCATCGCATTGGCGGCCATCAGTCTGTTATACTGAGCAAAGACAGTTGATGTTGTTCATCTACAAGATGGTGACAGAGACCGCATAGTATGCCCTTAGAGGAGGAAAAACCCAGTGTCATTTTTTTAAGCTGATCAAATCATTCTAAAACAGGTCAATGGCATCAGGACGCAGCCTTTATGATGCAAGCTGACATTGCATCACCCAGCGAGGCAATGACAGACACAATGAACTTAATGAAGTTAGTGACGTCACTGTGATTGGTAGGGTTAGGGGTGGCGTTAGGTGAGCGCATTAAAAAGCATTGGATTAGGCTCAGATTGCAATGCATCCAGACCCCTCTCAGACTGCTAGCATTTTATGCCGTTCAGCCTTATAAGATTAAATGTGAGCAAAATCACCTGTTTTGTTTATTTATTGTTTATGTTTATGTACTATACATTTGATAGTATATAAATGTATGATTAGAGCGACATTCAGGCAGGCAGGCAGACAAACAGATAGATAGTTAGATATACCTCAGTATTTTGCAGTTGCTGTAGTTCCACTGGTTCATTCATTATATCTTCCTGGTCAGAGCCCTACAGAAAGATCTTTAGTGCATGATGTTACTTTAAATCTAAAATATAAAATGGTATTTTTAAAAATGTTAAACTACCTGTGTACCGGATGAAAATGTGGACATTGTAGACAGAGTTCTCTTCACTCTATATGACACCTGAAAGTATGTGAACAGCACAGTAAAAACAATTTTATTGTGTGTGTGTGTGTGTGTGTGTGTGTGTGTGTGTGTGTGTGTGTGTGTGTGTGTGTGTGTGTATATCGTCACCTTGGAATTATAAGGTTCTATCTGCGTTCTGAATGATTTTGAGATTGAGTTTTTGCATTCCATAGCAAACAATATGTGTGTAACATTAGTTTTTTTTTAATAAAAAGTCCTAAAATTTTAACAACTTATAAAAAAACATCCCATAATGTAAATAAGTGGTCATTTAATAAGAATATATCAATAATTCAATTTTGACAAAAATGTCAGATAGACGATATATATATATATATATATATATATATATATATATATATATATAATTATATATAACATTTTAGACCTCCAAAGATACAAATGCTCTTGTATTTTAAACAAACAAAAGATGCTCACCTTAGTACTACGATTAGAGATTTTCTGATGACTTGCTGTGCATTTTCTGGGCACTTCAATAGATTTCTAGCAAACACAGACAAAAAAGGTAAAGCATTTGTTTCCTGACAATTTGCAGATCATTGCTGATTTGATACATTACCTTATCAGCTTCCAAAATGGTATAATCCCAGTCTGTAAGCTCACTGTGCTCACTTAGTGGATCCTGCATAATATGATTTTATTGATTTTCCATACAGGTTCATGCTGATTGTGAACATTATCAGTAATCCAATTACAGCGATAAATAAAAAAGTGGACTGCATTACCGTTTCCACAGCAAAACGTAATGCTGGTTTTGGGGAACTGCGGAAAGTGCCATTTAGCTTGCCTGAATTATCCTACAGAAAAGAGGCAGTGATTATGCCTTCAGGGATTATGCAAATCAAAAACTAGATATATAATCAACTGTACAGAATAAACTAAGTAATGATGAGCACCTCTACGTTGTTATACAGGGGATGTAAGAGATGGTCATTACTGGCCAGCAGTTTGATGTGTAATGGTGGGCTGTCCTAGAAGAGGAAAGCTAGAGAACATTATGCATAATCAACAGTGCCAAAAATAGACTAGTTAACACAATACATATAAAGAAAACAGGTTGTCATATGTGTATTATATTACTGTAGCAATATACCTCTCCAGAAGTGTCCTCAGTTCCTCTTGGAAATGTTTTGAGAAAATTAAACAGTGAATTCTCCTCCTAAAGACATTAATCAGAGAATCAAAATAGAAATTGCCTATTTTGAATGCAAGATATTTGGTCAATATTATGGGTGTCACATTGTGGCCTCTCTGACATAATGGCTTACATGACTGTCACTGGCTGGAAAATCCTCATTCTTAAATACTGGTTCTTTCTGTAAAAAAAAAAGAAAAAGTAATAATAATAAAACAGCAGATCTATGCATCAAACAAAGCTGAACGAATTATTTCAAAGTGTTTTGCTAAGTGCAAACTTAAAGACATTCATTTAAGAATATATTGTGAGAACAATATTTCAATATTGCAACACCTTGGTGTGGGTTTCTGTTTGATGGTGTTTGCTTGCTGACAGTTCTCCATCTTGTAATGACAGTTTTTCCTGTTGAGAGAGAGGAAGGTAACATCAGATGTTTGTGAGCTAAATCAACCATAAAAATTGCAGCATTATTCTGTGTAATGTGCAAAATTACGTAAAATTTGCCACAACTATGTTGCAGGAATTGTTGTAAAACAGAATAAACTGTTTAAAAGCAGAGTATAACTAGGTCCATCACCTGAGTATTTGTGTTTTTTTATTCAGATCAATTCTGTCATTATAGTAGTTGTGATTCATTATTAATAAGATTATGTTAAAAGCACAATAATTGAGATTTTTCATTAAAAAAACAAAAAACACGAGAACAGTGTTATATATTTTGCTACAGATATGATTATGTTGTCCAAATATGTCAAAAAACTAGTGACAGATCGTATTTCTCATCAGCAATCACTTTAGTGGTCTTGATTCATTTTGACAGCTTTCAGCCTTATATTGCTTCATAATACCATGATAACTAGTTTATTAATTAATTACTCAAATATTGTATGCAACTCTACAGGCAATCATCTCATTTAATCATGTGGTATCTTTGCCAAGGGTTTGGGTGATGTTTGAGCAATATCTCTGAGGAAGTCTTTTGCCTCCCCCTAGTGTCTAACTGTATGACTGTATTCATTATCATTCACTAGCTCACAATTACAGATATTTGGCTGAATAAAATATGCATATTTGGCATGCTGTTTGAGGAGAGGGCTACAAATTTGGAAAGACAGCCTACACTGAAGCAACATTTTCATTAGATTTACTTAATTTTTTAAGGTAAGTGGTTGCAAACAATTTATATAGTCTAAATAAAAAAAAAAATAAGTTGAACATTCCTAAATGTAATTTGTTTGTTTAAATTCAGCCTATATAAATTGTTTGCAACAATTTTGCAAAAATATATTTCTTTTAGTGTAACTTATGCTATTCCCCTTTTCAAGAAAAAGACAGAGATAGGGGTCTGAGTGTAGTGTCTAGTCTGCCATTGGAATGCACACCCTGCTCCAATTTGTAGGAATAGGGTTTAAAAATAGGGCATTTGGGGGCTGAAAGTTGACAGAAAAACAGAGGTAGGATATATTTGATTATTTATGGGGGTTTACTCTTATATTGATTAGACAGTGGGACATGCTTAACTATTGGTCTTATACTGAATGGATAATAGAAGGGTTGTCAATAATGAATCGGCCTTGTCAAAGCATCTCAGCATGTTTCTCTCTAAATTTGTTAATAAAACATCATTTAGTTTGTTTCTGCAAAGTATAGTATGTTAGATACGAAAGCATTTGGACAAAAAAGGTAACCCTTTGATAGCTCAGTTTACTCTTGCTTTAATCGTTTCAACTTAAAATGATGAATTATTTAATTTACATGAACAGACTATATTAATTAGATTTAGTTGTCTGTCATCAAAACATTTTGGCTTAAATTGGTTTTGTAATGTCCAAAAACTCCACCTGTGGTTCTACCTCCTGTGCAGCGAGACTTGTCACCTTTTTAGGTGTCTTCTTAAACAATCTTCTAAAAACAGCTCCTTTCCCCTGAAATATGAAGACAATGTACAATCTAGTAACTTTTCACTGTAAAACATGACAAATGAAATGAACTGGGTATAAATATAAAGGCCCATAGTCAGACTGGTGAAAGGGGTGGTTCTTTTATTTTAAAAAGTGGACCCTTTTGCTGTTATTCGCCTCAATTTTTATTTAATAAGGAAGTTTAAAGAGGCTGCATTTTAGTGACATTTTAAGCACTATTTCTTCATCATTAGCTGATGGTCAGCATAACCACACTTTTTGATGTACCAAAAACATTTCCTAAATATTTAGAATAAAGAAATATGAAAACAATACTTATTTTTTAAATGCAAATGTATTACATCATATATCATTAGAAAAAAATTGAATCTTTTTTAATCTGTTTAAGTTTTAAATTAAAAACTAGCATATTGTCATTTAAATATCATTAATTAAAATAACAAACTGGCCTGCACATTCAATTTTCCTCAGTCACACTGAAGCGACAGCCAACAGTGGATTAAACCTGGTATTAAAGCCTTTTTCAATGGGTTATTTTCACAATTTATTATGGCATAACAGTCAAAAAGTGACAAATGAGCTCATGTATGGGACAAATTTTAAACCTTTGTCAGTGAAGGGTAGGTCTTTTGAATCACCCGAACCCCCTGTATATACGGGCCTGAATGTACACCATTTACAATAACTGTTGAGCACATTAGATGGCAAACCTTAGGGTCAATGGTGTCTGATAGTCGATCATTGAGAGACGAGACTTCACTCTCAGCAAACTTGTTCTGGGAAAAAATGTTAACTGATTACTCTCAGAAACATGTCTGCACTTACAAAAAATTATCTATGAAAAAATTCTATGAAAAATAATAAAGAAATAACAGTGGCACGTTTAATTAAGTATTATTTTAAAAAGGGAAAACTCATTGTGTATTAATTTCTATTATTTTTTAGAGTCTGAATCTTCTACATATTTCACTACTAGTTCAAAATCTTCATCGTCTGCTGCTTGTCTGTTTTCTAAATGTTACTTTTTATCCCAAAGCAGAGTCAAAGCAGATTCAGAGCAGCATTCTGAGAAATTATACTATAACATCAAGGCACTTCTATTGTTCCCTTACAGACTGTCATTAATGCAAGTCAGTCCGTCATGCACTATACTCTCTTTGTTAAGTAAAAATAGTCAACAATGCAAATAAAAGGACAGACGTTATAAACAAGAGAGCTTTTACATCAAACTACAAACCCCTGTCTGAATGTTTGCTGCTCCCAGATCTTTAAACATGCACTGTCTCGCCTCGGATGAGTGCTCAGCTGTGTCTGAACGCCTGGACATTGAATCTGCTCTCTCCTTTTGGCACAAGCAGAGGAAACAACACAAATTGACAGTTCATATATGTGACTGCTAAAATGTATTTGAGCGTTTAACTGCATGACAGTGACACATGGCTTACCTAAATTATATCTGCTGTTTTCTTCTGAATCAATGGCACTTTATGTTAACTTCACCTACAGATGATCACTATTAAATCTGTCCCACTCAAATAAGATAAGTTGTGCATCAAACTTAATTTAAATATTTTTATTATTTTATATGCCCTGTAAAATGCTCTATATCATAACTAAGCTGTCATTCTCTCGGATGGACTCTTGTATTTAGGACTTGTGTCCATGTATTATTATTTCAGTCCAGGCCCTGAGAGATCAAAATTAATTATCACAACCAACTCGGTTTCACAGGTTATTAAAAATTTACAAGAGCTTCAGACACATTTTGAGTGGTTCATTAACTAGCTCACAAATTCCTTGTTCATATAAATAATGTCAATAATCACTTTCACAGAATTGCTTTTAAAATCTATTTGCACTTTTATGCTTGCTTTTATTTTCCTTTTTAAAAATATGCATTTTAAATGAAACTTTTTTTTATGATCAATTCCATAATTTTCATGTTTTAAAATGATCGAAAGGACAGGGACACCGTGGGCCCAGTGGAATCAGGGAGCCCCGACCAATGCCAAAAAGCCTATAATTAACATATAGCTCTTTTATAAAATTTTCTATCATACTGTATGTTGTAAAATCTGTCTATCACCATTAAGATTTTAATGTTATTAGCCTTCTTCTTTTTTAAAAGTGGAACGTTCCTTCCGTACTGCACATGCAAATGTTAAAATCTAATTACAAATATGGCTAATTAACTGTACATTTTGTTTTGTGAATTTATTGTATTTAATTTTAAGAAAATGAAGGTTCCACTTAAAATATATTTTTAACATGTGGTTTGTTCACAAAAAAAAAAAAAAAAAAAAAAAACTACAGAGAAAACAAAATATCTATAGAGAAAGAGAATGTTTTGAGTCTCAATGCAATGCCCATACACTGAAATTGCTTTGGCCCCCAAATCAGTCCGCCCCTGCATAGACAGCAAATTATATCTCCAAACTAGTAAAAATCTAATTAAATGATTAATTGTTTAAAATGTGAAAATTTGCAAATAAAAATAACAGATGGTGATCTCAACACCTCTTAAATGAGAATTTAGAAACATTTCACCTCGTATTGCTTTTTAAAAATCATATTTTATATGACTTATTTTAAAATAGCCACATTTAAGTTTTAGTGAATTCAATAATATTAAATATAAAATGATTAATATTTTTATATTTGATTCACATATGACTGTACCCTACTCATAACCACATAATACCTCATTTTAATGTAGTGAGACTCTGCTTCTGCTTCTGTGTTCCCTCTGGAATCACCATTGTGGTATTTCTTTTCTAAAATTAGATGGGAAACAAATTTACACAATATGTGTATCATAAAAACATAAATAATTACTACAACAAAGTGCTGTGTAACAATCCAGAAAATTAACAACAGGCACTGACATCATTATGAGCAACACAAACGCAAACGGTTACACACGCGTAAACGCCTCGCGGACCCAACGCTTCTTTTAACGTTAGACAAACTATAAATAGAGACAGTGATTTGCTCATTTTGTTGTTTTATTTCAAAACATTTCAATAGACTTCTTTTCCGAAACTGGCAGCTCGTTGTAAAAGTATTTTTTCTAGTCTTAATGTCTGAGAGCAACGTCTGATTTGCACATGGCTCGAGCCAAACTAGGAAGCGATTTCTATTCCGAGACCTGACTGAAGAGTTTATTTTGTAAACACGCTGAATTGACATTCGCAACCACATTTCACCGAACTGTTTTGCCTACCTTATGCTTCCATGCGTACAGCCACAGAGAGATCGACTGTCAAAACTTTGCAAAGCCCCGCCCGGTGAAATCTGTGTCGAGTAATGACAAGCACAGTGAACCACCTCATAGTATCAGTATGACGTAGTCGTGTCTCTTCACGAGTCAAGACATCCACGACCAAACAACACACAAAAGGGTGTTTCTTAAGACACATTTAGTATAGGTTTTTTACAATTAATATATATATATATATATATATATATATATAATATGAGGTGGTTCACTGTGCTTGTATGTGTATATATATATATATATATATATATATATATATATATATATATATATATATATATATATATTTTTTTTTTTTTTTTTTTTTTTTTTCCTACATGAAGGTCGAATAGACCACAAATGCCCCCAATAAAGAATATCTTATTTTTTATTTTACATACAAAATAAAAAGTGAAAATACCTTCATTTTAAAGGTACTAAAGACTGTCACAAACTTGCAGTGACATTATGGGTATAATACATTACAGACAGACAGATATACATAGACAGACAGATAAAGAGGCACATGGATAGATAAATAAATAAGAGCATCGATGACACATTTGGCAATAGCAGATGTACAATAACATAATAAATGTTTAAAAAACAAATGTTTTAGCAGCAGTTACAAAATCCACACCATGTTGTCAGGAGTGCATTATTACATGTGCTTAGAGGGCTATAGGAGCCTACTAACTTCACAAATCAAATAAAAATAATTTAAGGTTTGCTAATAATTATTCTGAAATCCGTATGACACTTCTGAAGCAACAACAAAACAAATGTCTCCAACAGTATCTGCTGTGTACAATTCAGATTCTCAGTGGCAGAAAAGTGCTTGAAAACAGATAAGGCAGTGATTAGCGTGTTTAGCCTACTGGTGATTAATGTAGATCTTAGACTTTAATCCTTTTAAAAGCAGCAGTTACACTTTAAAATAAAATGAAGTGGATATAGTCCTTAAAAACAAGGTAAGACCACAGATTTACTGTGCTTTATAATAAGAGAAGCCACTATAGTTATATAACCATATCATTTATACACCATCTTGTGAGAGTAGAAAAAGGCAGGGTAAAAAAACCCAGTGGTAATAAACCCAGAGGAACTTATACAGAAATTTGTCAAGATGTTTGGTCTTCTTTCACAGTGGTGGTCATGCGCAGCTCATCTCGAATGATATTGAGCTCCATCAAGCCCTCATGTAACTGTTCTGCCACTTCTCTGATTTTAGCAGCAAATTCTGACTTGGCACCATTTTTCAGCTCATGGGAGTCCTTGGCCACAAAGTAGATGTCCATCCCAACAAAAAGCCCCGTCAGAACACCTGTGGATATGCTAGCGATCTGCACAGCACGTGCCGCAGTGGTTCCTGCCACATTGGCTATCTGCATCACACGCATAATCTCATTAGCATTAGTCAGAATAGCTTTGCCTGCCATGGCACCGTCCTCATAGACATTGTCAAAACATGGGAAGTCTCGATTATAAGCATGCTTCTTCATCTTATTCAGGTTGAACTTGCGCAGGTTTGTTATGCCTTGCTTGATGAACTTCATGCATTTGTTAAGGTCACCCATCTTTGCCTGGTAGTCTCCCACAATGCGTTCCACCTTCTTGCGATCCAATGAGTTGTTGACGGTACTGGTTATGCCAGCAGATGCAGAGGTAAGCCCACCTGCCATGGCAACACCCAGACCCACCGCAGTGACAATCAGAGAGGTTCCCATGGTAAAAGGAGCCAAGATGAGGCCAGTTATGGTAGCTACACCTCCCACAGCGCTGGTGGAGCCACCGGTGATCTGGGCTATTTTGGTCTTCTTATTGAAGCGGTCCAGGCCATCTGCAATAGCGTGCAGGTCGATCACGTGCTGCCACAGTCCTTCTGCTCGCTCTGAGAAAAGTTTGTTAAACACGCGTATGCCCTTTTGCACCTTGTCAGCGGTTACAGCAAAAGCCCTGAGAAAAAGCGGCTGGTCAGTCACATTTACTTTATTTGTCCTGTCACATGAACACAAAATGAATGCGGGCTTACTTGGCTTCCTCTTTTTCAGTCATGTTGTCATTTTTGGGCATGTCCTCCCATTCTGAAATGGAAAAAAACAATGGGTACAGTAAATGTACAATAAGTAAGTGTAATGGAAAAATCTGCTTTCTTAATTCATATTTAGTAATCAACAGTATACTAACAACAAGGTTAATATATAATAAATGAGATGAACAAGTTTCTTTATACAAATGTACAAAGGGTCTTTTTCTTTTGTAATTTGATTGTGGTGTAAGGGTTGAAACACCTAAGGAAGCACCCATGGCGGTTGAGTGAATCTCAAACTGTCTGGTCTTATTCAACTTCATTTTAATTAAATTTTTAAAGCAGGAATATGATATTTCCACAACATCCCAGGTTTATTCTGATTGCGTATTCCTATATACATTTCTGAAGAGCGCTAAATACATCCCCATACATCCACCAGAGGCCGCTGTTGACTGACTGACTGACCAATCGGCCGATCCCCCCAATGCTTCCACTTCCCCTAAACCCATCCAATAGTGTTTTAAAAAGCACCGATTGATTGACCAGCGCCCAACCCCTTCCCTAAACCCAACCTCAGTATTTTAAAAAGCAATGCAGAAAAAGCAAAGCCCCCTGATTTTTACCTTGTTTTCAGATTTTACCACATTCACGCCGTGTTATTTACTTGCTTATTTTATTTTTTTGCTTCTGTTTTTGTCTAACCTGCTTTCTGAAATCGTTCTTCACTGGATCAACTCTGCTCTACATTTTAAGTCTGCCAACGTACGTTTCAAGGTACCAGACAAACTGGTAACAGGGGAAAAACTGTCCATACGGGGGTAAGCGGTCAGCTGGTAAACGAGAAAGGAATGGCGTCATACATTCCCCGTGACATTCATTTTAAAGGCGAAATGCAGTCTTGCGTAGCTCTGGCTACATAATCCGCAATCTCTAGAAATGTATATAGGGCTATGTTTTTAGAATAAGCCTATGTTGCATTAACTACACAACACCACTTTCAACTAAAAATAGAAAACTGTTTGTAACAGGTGGTTCATTCCACTGTGTCGATACCTGGTAAAGTAGAGAATAAGACTTTGGAAACTGAAGAAATATTTACATGACAACAGCATTTTAGGGGCCTGAAAACTTCTGAACAATGAGTAGAATCTAAAAAACTCTAAGCCTATTGTGCAGAAATTACATTAAAAGTAAGGTTATCTGGCCTATAATACATCAACTTAGCCATTTTTGTGAATTTGTTTGAATGGTGGACAATTTGACAACATTGCTATTTTTCTGCAAGCGTTTTCAAAAAATGCAAGGGAAAAACTCAGTGTTTAATAAAGGATTGTCATGCAGACACCCTTGGTTTAAAGTTAAAGCAAGGATGTCCAAACCTGCTTCTGGAGGGCCAATGTTTTAGATTAAACCCTATTTAAACAGTTTTGAATTCACTGGAAACTTCCAGGCGTGAGTGCTAGTGCTAAATACAAGAATGTGGGCAATTGTGGACAAACATGGTTCATACAAACTCACGTTCCACAGTGTTCCACCAATCCATGAGGCCCTCAAGATCCTGTGACAAACACATTTAGGATCATTTAAATATGATCTTTTTAATATGGACTCTAAAGCAAAGGCAAGGCTCTATACTTATAGAACCAACCTCCTCATCCTCTCTCTGAGTTTCACTTAATCGAAAGTCGTCCAGCCATTCCATGAGGGTCTTCTTGTGGTCTTTAGTCTGATTAGAAACAGAAAGTTATGTGAGGTTTATTCTGCAAGCGAAGATTGGACAACAATGTGTAAAGGAGAACTTGATGGGAAACTTCCAATGCAGAAATCCACATTAATTGCAGAAGTTGTGAGTCAAAAAGGAAGGTAGTTTCTACATGTGGTTTGATTTTGTCAGAGGTTGCAAAAAAAACCCAAAACTTGTTTTTTTTTTGTGCCTGCACTTTAAAAGAAAAAGGTCCTATTGAAATCTAGTTTAATTACTGTTTTTCCTGTGTTGTGTAAAAAGAAAAGTTGAGTACACACCACACCAACAGACACTGACACTCATGGATAAGCACCAGATTAAACGTCACTTCTCAAACATTCTACAAGCCAACATAAGCCAATTCAGCATGTTTAATTGCTGAAAACAAGCTCAGACAGACGCTAACACAAACTGCTCTTACTCTTTGCAGACATAAAAAATTCCAACAGTTAATCTACTATCCTGACCTGTAGTATCAAACTTTCCTATATTTGAAACCACTACAGTCTCTCGGTTTTCATTTTATGCCTGTTGAGTATTATGTTTTATATTAGGATATTACAGTACCTCTGCAACAACACTGCCAGCTCCAATATTTTGGTCTTCATTTTTCTTCTGTGTTGTTTTGTTCTGAAATAACAGCACATGACTCCAGTGAATAACAATTTTGAGCGTTTTTAAAAAGCAAGTAAGGAAAACAAATTGTATTTACCTTTGCTGCAATCTGAGGCATAAAAGGATTTTTGGGTTTCTTTTTTTGTCCTTTTTGCTGTAAAAATGTCAAATAAAGTAATGTTATTTACTGGGAACCGACTCCAGATTACCCATTTTGAAACATAAAATGATAAAACCAGCAGTATTCACTTCAAATGATAAAGTAGGTGCTTACTGTTGGATTTTCCTCTTCTCTAGCTTCTCTAGGTGTCTCAGCCACCTTCTTTTCCAGGACCTCATTATTATCAACCTGCAATGATAAGTAAAATCCAGGAGCCTATGATTCCCCAGGCCTACATTTCAAAAATAACTTCAAATGAGTGTTTATCTGGCCTATAATCTGTTGTAAGGAGAAAAGCAAGATACAAAACCAAATTTATTTTAAACAGAAGCAACTTTATATAACAAATCATGATTGCCATACCAAAAAAAAAATCACTAATTGCTGAATGGTTTGCACAAGTGTTTAAATGATCGCTTTGCTACTTGTTTATAGCAACTTAATTCAGTTTAACTCATCTTTATTTCTGCTTTTTAAAATGTAGACTGTTTCAAAGCAGATTAACAAGAAAATAGAAAGCCATAATATAGCCACAATATCTCAAAATTTGGAAAATTCTAGCAAGTCAGGCAGGCAGGAGAGCAGTGGTAGAATGCTGGTGTAGTTCTACTTGAATTAAAACTGATAATTTATCCTGTGCTAGACGATCTTATACAGCAAGTCATTTTCCACCTGGCATTCTGATGTGCATGTATGTACTTGTCTTAAATGTTTGGTAATAGCCATTTAGGCTGGGCCAATAAAAAAAAATGTTGCTGAAAATGCCCAAAGGTATGTTCAAATGACTGCTTCCACACTAAGCCACCCTTGTGCAAGATTCCTAGATGAACAGCAGTAACTTTAACCAGTTTTTGTTGAACGTTTCAGTGAAGCTCAGTGTTTAGTGTTTATGATTAATCCTTAGATAAAGCAATTAAGCACTTTAAAAATAGTACCATAATGATGTACCATAATATTGCTGCTGTTTCTCTTCTTACAGAAGTATTGCTTTGTATGCTACAATGACTTATACGATAATAAACTTAAGTTCTTAAACATGTCACAAATTATTATATTTCCCTTCAAAACTTTTGTAGGATGTATCCATGTGATAAGTGGGATAATGTATGGGAGAATGTGAATTTTTATCCTAATAAAATAAATAAAACCGTTGATGCAAATCTAGATAACCTTGATAATAGCTTATTATCTAAAAGTCACATTTTTCTCAATGTATCAAAGCTTATACATGGTTAATATTACAAATTAGTGCAAAGATGCGTATATACCTGCCCAAGGACTGGTTGGCCTGCAACATCAGCTAGCTCTTCTGGATTTAAACCTGAACCCATATCCTGGAATAAAAGAACAAATGCATCCTTCACACATAATATTTGATGAAAACTGCCTTGTCTTATTAGTCAATTAGTCTAAAATCAATTAGTTATAGGCAGTCCTATAAGATCCATGGAAAAATGTAAGTCTATGCTGTAATATATCTCTTCAGACTGCAAATAATATCTAAAATTGGGATACGCCTTATAAAAGGCCCACCTGCATGAGTTTTGACTCTTTATCATCAGGTTTCTCACTGGGTTCCAAAAACTGTTGTGTTTTTTCCACGCCCTGCTGAGGAAGCAGATGCCTTCCTATTACAACATGCTTTATAATCAGAACTAGCGAAATTAACAACAACTATTAGGTTTCATCTCATATGCAATACATGACAAAGTGTAAATAAGAGAGACAGAAAAAAACAGATCAAAGGCAGGCACTTACTTTACTAGTGGAGGGCTCACCATCATTTTCCTCGATTTTAAAAACTTCACTGTCCATCTTAAGAATGTTCTCCAAACTGATGAAAAAAGTACAGAGAGAGTCAAAGATAACATTCATACACTTATTAAACTGTGGATAATGTTGCAGTCAGAAAAAAACATCACATGCTGAAGGTTTCCTTTGAACTGAAAGGTCATCGTGAGAGAGAAAGAAAGTTTTGTTGAAAAATGACCTTGAAGAATGTTGTGGGGCAAAACAGACTTCAGATTAGCAACATTTGGCATTACACATTAGCATGTCATTAGCTCAAAAGATGACAGACAGACAGACAGACAGACAGACAGACAGACAGACAGACAGACAGATAAATAGAAGACCCCGCTGAAAATTAACTTTTTTTTTTACTACAAGGCAATCATGATAACAATCATCAATTGTTTTAATATAAATAATACAATATAATATAATATAATATAATATAATATAATATAATATAATATAATATAATATAATATATAGCACTGCTGTAACACGTTAGTAATACAAAGTAACGTTAACTGTGGTTGGTACGTTAGTTGCTGTATCTGGCAAGACACAGTCAAGTCAAATCACGGCATTTATAACAAATATAATCAGTGCCTCTTCTGCTTGTTTCCTGAACAGTGTTGCATAATAAGTTAATATAATCAATGTAATGAAACGTTGTCCTTAAAAGTTTGACAAGTCATGCTCAACTTACTTCACACCGCCGACCTCCGAGGGAAAATAACTGCGTTAAAAGAGTAAAGTGAGACGAAAATTAACACGTGATCTATCTATAAAATGAAACACAACCGCTTGGTTTAAATAAATCTCATGTTATTTTCTCATAGTTCGTCAAACTGTGTGAGAGTGTTGTGTAGTATCGCAATGTCATCAACTCCGCCCTTTGTGCAGTGCTTGTTGTGCCTCGTTTTGTAAATCCACGGACTGCAGGTGGTGCTAGAGACGTACTACACTGAGAGACTGCTCATTTGTTTACAGTGTCACATGAACCTGAAAATAAACCTTTAACTTTATTAACACAAATAAAAACAAACAGAGAAATCTAATTTATGCTGTTTTAATACTAATTAAAGTGGCCAAATGTCCCCACAATATATACTATAATACCAGTATTTCTGTCATTGTGGAAATATTTTGGTTCCCATGAAAAGAAATCTTGCAAATTTGTATATATAGCTACAAAAATGCTGAATGTTTTCTGTGAGGGTTGTGTTTTAGTGTAGAGACTTCAATGAGAGAAAAAACAGCATGAAAATCACATGTGGATATAGTCTCCACATGTTTTGGCCTTGGGTGTTTGCAGTCCAAAGTTTATTGGTCCTTTTAAATAATTACATAAGTTGTGGTTTAGAATGGTACTTACAGAATAATACTCAGTTAGTACGCTACACCATTACGAGACAGAACAATACATAATGTTGCTTTTTATAACAATCCTAATGTTCAATGTTTGGACCACAATGGCAGCAAGTTTATTTTCACCAAATATAAACATCATTGAAGAACTGGAAAAATTTAAAATCATGGAAACAAAGATCAAATCCATGGAGCAGAAAATTGAGCAACTAAAAGCAGAAAATGCAGGTAATGTAACTTAAAGCAAAAAAATAGTTTGCTTTTCAAGGTGTATATTAGCAAGTTCAACCACAAAAGCAATTTCCAGTGCAAGAACGTTTTTAACAGCACTAATCTTAAACATTGTGGAATTTGTAAAAACTAAGTTATTAAATCTGTGATCTTCACTGTCTATGTGCTCAAGTAATGATGATTTCATTATTTTAGTGCAAACAAACTGGAGGTTAGACAGATCAACATTGAAGAATATTATCTAATAAAATGAAGATAACAGATCACAGTCTTCGACAAATCTCAAAATGTAAAGCCTTCCACAAAAGTTTTTTTTTTTTTGCAAATAAAGTAATTCTTATTAATAATTATTGCTAAACAAAAATTATTGACACAAGCAAAAGAGCTGGAGACAAGCTTATTTTGATTTTATTTTATGTATTTATTTATTTATTTATTTATTTATTTATTGTAGTTACACCATGGTAACTGCAAATTAATTGGTTGTATTCTTATCTTCTTTACACAATGTTGGTGTTTTAGTTTATTTTGTTTATATAAATTTTGGTTCATTGTATAATTTCTGTATTGTTTTTAGGGTGACAATTTTAACATCTGTCCAGGGACAACGGATGAAAACTAGCTTTCGGGCTAACTCTGGTGCATTTGCAGCAATGCTAATTAAAGAACATTGTCCCTGCAAAAATAAAATAAAATAAAATAAAATAAAATAAAATAAAATAAAATAAAATAAAATAAAATAAAATAAAATAAAATAAAATAAAGCCAACAAGAAAATGAATAAATGAATGAATAATATAAGAT